ATGATGGTAATAAATACATGTTTCCGGGGAATAAATTGGACTATTCTTTTATATAACTTCCCCAGGCAGCATGGGAATGATCTATCAGCTGCTCCACTTCAGACAGGGACCGGACTGATTTTCAAGACTGGGCCATTACCATAGTGAGCCCAGGACGCCAATGACCCCTTCAATCTAATATTACATTTCCATAAACATTTATGCCAGTTCATATTGTGCCGAGTTTCCCTTAATTGAGGCAATGATCTGAATATGTAAGACAGACTGGGTTGGCCACTGTTTTGCAGACTCCGGTAGACAGAGGTGAACGTAATGTGAAAAATGATGCAAATTATAGCTACCATTGAAATGCCTCCTTTTTGGAGAGTCTCCTTCCTGGTTTTTGTGATTGTTACATATTACTGTTTACCTTATGTTATATCTACATTACAATAAGGTTTGTGAGCAGGAGGACTGGCATCTTTCATTCACAACTTCATGCTTTTTTCTCACATTTCGATTATTGTCTATCATTAGGTTATAGGCCTAGCAGAATGGAGAAATGTTGTATGATACATTGGTACAAATGATACAAAAAAAGGAAATATCAATATAACCCATCATGTCATATCCCGTATAGAAGAATTCCACAATAACACAAATACAAATCCTTATTATCCTACTGCATTTCAAAAAGCAGACTTTATTTTCCCCAATTAGACATACTTATTGCTAGTCTAAGTAAAGGAGACCTAGGCCTATGACTATCCCCCTCGCTTATCATATGCTATTCTTTCAAACTGCACTGTATAATGATTGTGAATATATTTGTAATGAGTTCAATAGAACGAAGGTAAGGTGCTTCCATAATGGAAAAGCTATACAGGGTGGTGGATTCTGTCTGGAAAAATAATGCTTACCTGGCATTTCATATACTGTTAGCACAGCCTGGTAGAGAATGCTGCCTCTATTTACCCTGTCTTTTTTAAGCTCCTAACACCCACACAGAAACGCTAATAGCACAGGCACTCTAGCACAGCGTTTGTCTAAAGGTAAAGGGAAAAAAGAGGGAGACCCATCACCCCATCAACTCCTACTCCCTTCCCAGCTATGACCCATAGCTAAATTGTTCAGATGTTTAAAACAGCAGAGGATTATAGTAGGATGTAGCACTCAGGGGATTCACCGCTTCCACTCTGTGCTCTCTAATGTGTGAGTGCTCTCTGCTGGCCATAAAGGAAAACTGCAGCGTTGGAAATAGTGCCACAGATTCACACTTGGGTACATTCATTGATAGTAGGTGGTTCCTTCATTGGAATCACAGCTACTTGACAGAACAGAACATAATGACTGACAGGAATAAAATTGAATAGTTTTATTCAATTAAATTCTAGACCAGTGAAATTATTCACTAAGATTCTCAAGTTTACAATACATTATATACTGAACAAAAATATAAAACGCAACATGCAACAATTTCAAAGATTTTACTAAGTTACAGTTCATATAAGGAAATCAGTCAATTTAAATAAATAAATTTGGCCCTAATCTATGGATTTCACATGACTGGGCAAGGGCGCAGACATGGGTGAGCATAGGCCCACCAACTGGGGAGCCAGGCCCAGCCAATCAAAATGAGTTTTTCCTCACAAAAGGGCTTTATTACAGACAGAAATACTCTTCAGCACCCCCTCAGACAATCCCACAGGTGAAGAAATTCGATGTGGAGGTCCTGGGCTGGCGTGAGGCCGGTTGGACATACTGCCAAATTCTCTAAAACAACGTTGGAGGCGGCTTATGGTAGAGAAATTAACATTCAATTATCTGGCAACAGGTCTGGTGGACATTCCTGCAGTCAGCATGCCAATTGCTCGCTCCACTTGAGACATCTGTGGCATTGTGTTGTGTGACAAAACTGCACATTTTAGAGTGCCCTTTTATTGTCCCCAGCACAAGGTGCACCTGTGTAATGATTAATCAGCTTCTTGATATGCCACACCTGTCAGGTGGATGGATTATCTTGGCAAATGAGAAATACACAATAACAGGAATGTAAACAAATTTGTGCAAAACAATTGGGAGAAATAAGCTTTTTGTGCATATGGAACATTTCTGGGATCTTTTATTTCACCTCATGAAACATGGGACCAATACTTTACATGTAGCGTTTATATTTTTGTTCAGTATACAATTGTTTGAACTACCTAAGTTAGACAACTTACTAATTGGAATGTGACACATTCTTTTCTTATTCAATTTTGTTTGAAAAGACCACCTGAAATTCAGCCTGTTTTAGTGGGAGGGAGTTTTGGCCTTCCATGGTGACATCACCATGCAGTAAATTAGTTGATAGACCAATAAGAAAGAGAGTTTCAAACCTCTCTGCCAATAACAGCTAATTTTCAGTTTTCCCCTCCCTACTCAAACCACTCCCAGACAGTCCTAGTAAAATTCTTGCTTGAGAAATTGCTCTTTGCTAAGAAGCTATTTTTTTTTCTATTTTTTACCATTTTAATTTAAAACAAATCACAGAATTGTACTTAATTGTTACCCCATAAAAACGTCTGCACTGGCCCTTTAACATATTAGACAGATGTATACACTATATGGATACTGTTAGGTATGGTGTGATTGACTGTGGGAGGAGGAGAGGAACCCAATACAGGAGAGTGACCTCCTCTGGCAGTATCACCTCAATGCTGTCTGTCTCTGTCTCTAACTGTTTCTCTTGCCCAGTACCAAATCAACTCAAAGAACATTTACATTTACATTTTACATTTTAGTCATTTAGCAGACGCTCTTATCCAGAACATCACAGTGGGCTATATGGAGTTACACCCATATTGCTTACACAATTACAAGGCTTTCAGATCTACAAATTAAGGGCCATCAAGAAGAAGTGTCTAGTGGTAGGGACAAGCACTTGTTTTTAGACTGGGCATGTGTCTTCCTTTGCCATGAATTGTCTCTCTGTCACCATATTATTTCTCTACCGAAAGTCTCTGACCACATTTCTGTCAGCTGTCTTCTAAATCAGGCTCTGTTAGTTTGTCTGCATGTTCGTTGATCTCTCGACCTGGCACCTTCTGGTGCATGATCTCTGTTTTTCCTCCCTCCCTCCCTCACTCTCTCTCCCTTCCTCTCCCTCCCTCCCAGTGTTCTGTGATAGATGCCACACACATCGCTTCCTCCTGCCTCTAAACTTTTGTTTATGACACTTTGTCTCTGTCTGAGTGATTGGGGGGGGGCGAATGCCTGAGCACATCCTGTTGTCCAAGGAAAGCTCCACACTAATTGTCAAGTCAAGGTTTTTGTCAAGCCGCGACAAGGCATCACAAACACATCACTCACTGATTATTGGAGAGGGAGAGATCACCTACGTTTCATTTTTTAGTGTGAGTATTTTTTCTTAGATCAAGGCCAGGCAAAAAAAAGAAGGAAAAAAGCAAAGAAAATATAAAAACAAGAAAGGAAAAGGAACATCTGAAATGCCTACAGTAAAAAAAGAAAAACAGCACAATGAATCTTGCACAACAGGAAGCAGTGGCATGCACCCCCAGACAAAGGGGAACAAATAGTATTTACATGGAGTGCAGCTGCTTATTAAGACTCACTCCTTCGTGCATTATTCCTTTCAACCCCACTCAACCACAAAATGATTTTGCTTTACCACTTACAATGGCAGCAAAAGATTTCTAATGGATGAATCCTTAATAAACTGTTGCAGATCAGTCTGCTTGGCCGTGATTTATAATACAATAAACAGCACATTCTATAAAGTAACTCGCTGAAAAACTGTGTGGAGGAGAGAGAAAAACACTGAATATGAAAGACCTTGATTCTCTCCAATGCCATAATAGTGAAATGAGCACATATAAATGTGTTAAGAGTATTTCTTTGCATCTTGTATAGACTGCATGTATTTAATCTGTAAAGCTTATTAAGGCAGAGTCATTGCTATGCAAAGCAGCACCCAGCGCTTTTCTCTTGCTTTTCAGCTGAGTGTAGTGTTTGGCCAATAGGACTGGCCCCCCCGCCTCTCATTCTGCATTCATAACATGCAACATTTGCACAATGTATCTCTCAAAGGCTCCTGAATAGAGGGCCATAATACTCATGTAAACAACTGCAAACCAATTACTTAATGAATCGGGCCCACACATAATGAGGAGCCACACAAAGGCCTATAAATGCATTTTTTGCACCAAAGCCTCTGCTTTAAACTACAATCCCTCAGCTGTAGTCTAGGCTTAACTGGGAAATCATCATTATTGTCTAAGACAACAGAAAGGAAGCCATTTTTTATTTTGAGTCCAGCCACAGAGTCGTTTGATGTCACTCATCAGCTCACTGACAAAATAAAGCAAATAATTAAAAAGGGAGAAGTAGAGGGGAAGAGAGGAAAATACATAAGGAGAGGGAGAGAGAGAGGAATAGGGAGAGAGAGAAGAATAGAGAAAGGGGGAAAGAGATGGGGGAGAGAGACAGTGAGATAGAACCAGAGAGAGAGAGAGAAAGTGAAAGACATGGCAGAGCATGCTGCAGTGTTATGCTTCTGTTGAAGTGCAGGGCTTCCAGACCACTTGTAGAAGCAATAAAGCGCAAGAAGAGAGTGTGGTAAGTGGAATGCTTAAAACGTAAGCATCCGGGGGTGGGGAATCACAGAGGAGCAGGAAGAGGTACGATGGTGACCGCTCTTAGCTGTCGCTCTACAACAGATCACTCCTCCCCTGACCAGATTAGGTGTCAAGCATGCAAAACGACTCATTAGTCTAATTTCAATCATTTATGCACAGGACCAACACGACCACAGTGGCCAATCAGAGATGTGTGATTCTCTCCATTATCTCTCCCTTTACGTGTGTTTTATCGCCTTAGATTTGGGCTTCCAATGCGCCTTAATGACAGTGGAGACAGCGATCTGAGAGGGTCTGGAGTCTGAAATTGGCTCATGTTTATTAAAGAGGTATAGTCATTGGGCTGGCACTGGCAGACAGTAGCGCCTCAATAGAGCTGGGCCATTATGCCCTTCCCTCTGCTAATAGGTAGACTGGGAGACCCGCTGGCCTGGCCAGGGAGACACACACTTTGGGCCCTTGTGTCAGCGTGGTGCCCAGTAATCATATGAAATCAGAGAAGATTATTCCTCATAACATTTACCCAGCCATTACCTTCCCAAATGGGCACCCGGTGAAGAGCCGCTCTGAGGACACACAATTGCAGATTTTGATGAAGTCGTGTTGATATTCAAATGTATGAAAACATGGAGCTATTTAGATGTTCTTTTCTTACTACTCAACACTTTGATTTGAGCAGCCTAAACGCAATTCAGGACACGGGGAAGCTCTGGAAATGAAGGGATGTGTCATCTTAAAACTCATTCTTGTGAGTCTTCTTTTCAAAACAGTTGTTTCTGATTTTATACTTGATTTTCTATTTGTTGAAACACAGTTTGTACACATAATACAAACCATTTGTGGGCTGATTGGATTTTCCAAACTAGTTTAGTTGGCAACGGTCTGGTTTTATAGCTAGTCTCCTGAAACATGAACCCAATAAATAGTGAGAGCAGGCTTTAGGCTTGATAACAGTCTGGCCTTTTGTTTTCATGCACAAGTTAATGGGTGGCGCACCCTTGATCTAATGGAAATTAACTGGGAATTATGAGAGCTACATGCAAATGTACATCATCCACTTCGGTGTCTGGTGGCCTATTTCCATAAAGGGAGTGAATAATAATAATGTTCTTACCAAGGGTAAGGGTCTTGATGAGAGGAGCGCTCAACCCTCCCAGTATCCTCTTCATAGCCATCATTTATTCCTTAAAGAGCAAACAAGACAGATCAAACATTTTGATGTGCATCTAATTACATGATAATCTATGTTGTGTATTGACATCCATGTAAATAGATGGAGAGGAAAAGCCCAGAAGACTGACAAAAAAAATCTGTACACATGGTGGTATATTCTTTATACAACACTTGTACCAATTCTTTATAGGACAGTGAGACATATGGTCTGTGTTGACTGATGATTAGGCCACAGTGGCTTGCTGGAGGGGTGGTGTGAGCAGTGTCTCCCCTTACCTGACAGATCCTCATCTCCAGAGCTCTGCTGCCTCGCCTGCGTGGCAGACTGTTTAAGCAGCTGATATGCTTTTGTCTCTGTTCCAAAAACACAAAACGTCTAAGTTAAATATTGACTCAAGACCCAGGTTTCCAACTTTCAGAGGCTGTGTGTTTGATGAGACAACACGCTCCGATGGCTAGCTCTTTGGGCCTTCTGATGAACAGTGGGTCAAAACACAGTGCAGGGCTGGCTAAGCTGTGTATTTAAGCAGTGTGTATACACACGCCAAGGGGAGCAACAGTTTCCACGACACCATAATCACCCTCCACCTTATCTCTGTATCAGGTTGGCAGGCACCCCAACTCGGAAGAGATAGATTTTCTTTCAATAAAACACTAACTACTTCCATATACAGTGGATTAGGTATGATATTTGAGAACTACAGAGGCTTTAGAGCAGCTAGCTTTATGTCATCAACGGCCATTTGTCTCAAGATGATAACACTAACACCCTATGGTTTTGCCTTGCAAAAGTATTCATCCCCCTTGGCGTTTTTCCTATTTTGTTGCATTACAACCTGTAATTTAAATTGATTTTTATTTGGATTTCATGTAATGGACATACACAAAATAGTCCAAATTGGTGAAGTGAAATGAAAAAAATCACTTGTTTCAAAAAAGAATAACAAATAAATAACAGAAAAGTGGTGCGTGCATATGTATTCACCCCGTTTGCTATGAAGACCCTAAATAAGATCTGGTGCAACCAATTACTTTCAGAAGTCACATAATTAGTTAAATAAAGTCTATATATATATATATATATATATATATATATATATATATATATATATATATATATATATATATATATATATATATATATATATATATATATATATATATATAAACACACCTGTTCTGAAAGGCCCAGAGTCTGCAACACCAACACCGCTAAGCAAGGGGCACCACCAAGCAAGCGGCACCATGAAGACCAAGGAGCTCTCCAAACAGGTCAGGGACAAAGTTGTGGAGAAGTACAGATCAGGGTTGGGTTATAAATAAATATCCGAAACTTTGAAGATCCCACGGAGCACCATTAAATCCATTATTAAAAAATGGAAAGAATATGGCACCACAACAAACCTGCCAAGAGAGGGCTGCCCACCAAAACTCACGGACCAGGCAAGGAGGGCATTAATCAGAGGCAACAAAGAGACCAAAGATAACCCTGAAGGAGCTGCAAAGCTCCACAGTGGAGATTGGAGTATCTGTCCACAGGACCACTTTCAGCCGTACACTCCACAGAGCTAGGCTTTACGGAAGAGTGGCCAGAAAAAAAGCCATTGCTTAAAGAAAAAAATAAGCAAACACGTTTGGTGTTCGCCAAAAGACATGTGGGAGACTCCCCAAAAATATGGAAGAAGGTACTCTGGTCAGATGAGACTGAAATTGAGCTTTTTGGCCATCAAGGAAAACGCTATGTCTGGCGCAAACCCAACACCTCTCATCACCCCGAGAACACCATCCCCACAGTGAAGCATGGTGGTGGCGGCATCATGCTGTGGGAATGTTTTTCCATCGGCAGGGACTGGGAAACTGGTCAGAATTGAAGGAATGATGGATGGCGCTAAATACAGGGAAATTCTTAAGGGCAACCTGTTTCAGTCTTCCAGAGATTTGAGACTGGGACGGAGGTTCACCTTCCAGCAGGACAATGACCCTAGGTATACTGCTAAAGCAACACTTGAGTGGTTTAATGAGAAACATTTAAAATGTCTTGGAATGGCCTAGTCAAAGCCCAGACCTCAATCCAATTGAGAATCTGTGGTATGACTTAAAGATTGCTGTACACCAGCGGAACCCATCCAACTTGAAGGAGCTGGGCTGGAGCAGTTTTGCCTTGAAGAATGGGCAAAAATCCCAGTGGCTAGATGTGCCAAGCTCATAGAGACATACCCCAAGAGACTTGCAGCTGTAATTGCTGCAAAAGGTGGATCTACAAAGTATTGACTTTGGGGGGGGGGGGTGAATAGTTTTGCACGCTCAAGTGTTCTGTTTTTTCGGTCTTATCTCTTGTTTGTTTCACATACAAAAAAGATTTGTGGTAGGCATGTTGTGTTAATCAAATGATACAAACCCTAAAAAAATCTATTTTAATGCCAAGTTGTAAGGCAACAAAACAAGAAAAATGCCAAGGGGGGTGAATACTTTCGCAAGCCACTGTATATCTGGTTGTTTTAATCCAAGTTCAGGCCAGGGGTTGAGTTTACGCATCCAAGCGTGCTATCAGTAGGCAAGAATACGTTGAACTCTGTGGGCAACAAATGTATATTTGGCCTTACCGAAATGATGAAACAATGGAACATTTATTTGCCAAATACAGTACCAGTGAAATGTTTGGACACACCTACTCATTCAAAGGTTTATCTTTATTTTTACTATTTTCTACATTGTAGAATAATAGTGAAGATATCACAACTATGAAATAACACATATCGAATCATGTAGTAACCAAAAAGTGTTAAACAAAATCAAAATATATTTTATATTTGAGATTCTTCAAAGTAAACACTCTTTGACTTGATGACAGCTTTGTACACTCTTGGCATTCTCTCAACCAGCTTCATGAGGTAGTCATCTGGAAAGCATTTCAATTAACAGGTGAGCCTTCTTAAAAGTTAATTTGTGGAACTTAATGCGTTTGAGCCAATCAGTTGTGTTGTGACAAGGTAGGGGTGGTATACAAAAGATAGCCCTATTTGGTAAAAGACCAAGTCCATATTAAATGTCAAGAACAGCTCAAATAAGCAAAGAGAAACGACAGTCCATCATTACTTTAAGACATGAAGGTCAGTCAATGCGGAAAATGTCAAGAACTTTGTTTCTTCAAGTGCAGTCGCAAAAACCATCAAGCGCTATGATGAAACTGGCTCTCATGAGGACTGCCACAGGAAAGGAAGACCCAGAGTTACCTCTGCTGCAGAGGATAAGTTCATTAGAGTTACCAGCCTCAGAAATTGCAGCCCAAATAAATGCTTCACAGAGTTCAAGTTACAGACACATCTCAACATCAACTGTTCAGAGGAGACTGCGTGAATCAGGCCTTCATGGTCAATTTTCTGCAAAGAATCCAAAGGACACCAATAATAAGAAGAGACTTGGTTGGGCCAAGAAACACGAGCAACGGACATTAGACGGGTGGAAATCTGTCCAAATGTTAGATTTGTGGTTCCAACCGCTGTGTCTTTGTGAGACGCAGAGTAGGTGAACGGATGATCTCCGCATGTGTGGTTCCCACCGTGAAGCATGGAGGAGGTGGTGTGATGGTGTGGGGGTGCTTTGCTGGTGACACTGTCTGTGATTTATTTAGAATTCAAGGCACACTTAACCTGCATGGCTACCACAGCATTCTGCAGTGATACGCCATCCCATCTGGTTTGCGCTTAGTGGGCCTATCATTTGTTTTTCAACAGGACAATGACCCAACATACCTCCAGGCTGTGTAAGGGCTATTTGACCAAGAAGGAGGGTGAGGGAGTGCTGCATCAGATGACCTTGCCTCCACAATCACCCGACCTCAACCCAATTGAGATGGTTTGGGATGAGTTGGACCGCAGAGTGAAGATTAAGCAGCCAACAAGTGCTCAGCATATGTGGGAACTCCTTCAAGACTGTGGGAAAAGCATTCCAGGTGAAGCTGGTTGAGAGAATGCCAAGAGTGTGCAAAAGTGTCATCAAGGCAAAGGGTGGCTACTTTGAAGAAAATCAAATATATTCAAATATAAAATATATTTTGATTTGTTTAAAACTTTTTGGGTTACTATATGATTCCATATGTGTTATTTCATAGTTTTGATGTCTTCACTATTATTCTACAATGTAGAAAATAGTAAAAATAAAGAAAAACCCTTGAATGAGTAGGTGTGTCCAAACTTTTGACTGGTACTGTATATCTAAGTATCTGTCCATTGTAGTTGTCTTGTCTGTAAAATTGTTTACTAGGACTAACAAATGCATGTCACTTTGAGCATATACAGCAACACACATTCTTAACTCATTACCTTCAGTTGCCCAGCAGTGGCTCCAGCCATGAAACTGGACTGGAAATGCCTCTTTTCAAAACAATATTTTGCTTTTAATTAGTTGTGAGTTGTAACTGGACTGGTTCTGTGGTCCTGCGTCCTTGGGGATGGTCACACATGAAACGCTCAGTATGAAATCCCATTGCCAAGTGTAATAATAACTCATTTTACATTTCTGAGATTCTGGCTGTGGACTAGTACACAGGCCGCTTTCAGGATGCTTTCACATCTAGTCTTTTCAAGTCTGATGCTGCATAGCATTGTTTATAAGATAATGAGAACCAATGACAGATCTTTGGCTGCACCCCGGTGTCCTGACAATTAAACTGCTGCATTTTGCGGGGCGCGAATTATCAATTTGGCCGCGTCTCTGCTCTGGCCGGCTGAAAACATGCACTGTTTCTCCAAGATAATTAGAGGAACTGCACAGTTCTTCAGGTGGGACTTTGACCCCAGATTCACCTTGATCATCCTGCCACAGCCATCCATTTAAAAGAGCCCATTATCGGCTGCTGTGGGAGGAAAACAAACGGCACACAAGAACTGTGAATGCAGGGTTCGGCGCTGCCTTTTTACCTCTAATAGGAATACTTTCCACGGAGCTTTCATCCTGGCTGTCCTCTTCACCACTTTGTAGTCCTGTAAGAAAGGGAGACCCACACAGAGCTCAGAGACAGGGGGAGGCTAGGCTGGGACTCTGGGTTTCCCTTTGTCTGAATAGAGGGCCCTATGAAGACTGAGGCTTCCAGGGATTCAGAAAGAGGCCTATGGTGAAAGTGTTGTGATTCTTTGTCATATGGGGGAAGTTTCCTTTCAGTGCAGCGATTGCTCATACTTAACAGAAATGGCACCATTCTACAAACGCTCACATCCCAACCCTCTATCTGTCTCACTGGGCAATTACTGACTTTTCTCAGTTTAGAATGTTGTGTAAACTTAAGTTGCAGTATGTGCAAATTACTTCTGATTGAAAAAGTTCCTGTCTAAAAACACAGGCATCATTGGACAGGGTCATACTCAAAACTTCCATCATTAGTTTTAGTCTTGAGGCTGGTTATACAGTTTATTATCATAATCGGAGAGTGATGCATCACTACAAAGGAATAGAACATTAGCCATCAACTGGCCTGACAGACATGGTGAGAGAGCAATAATGACCTTGCATCCCTGCGGCGCGGTGCTCCCGAGAAGGTCTGGCTGGTCGGACCTCCACAGCGCTGTCGTCGAGGAACGAGGGAAGGCCACAGGAAGACGACTCACTCTCCACCTCCACCGAGGGGCACTCCTCACTGGACCGGGACAGAAGTGTCCCCAGCAGCACTTTGGCCTGCAACCATGGCAAATTAAAACCACATTCTAACTGCTCCCACATTGTGTAGTGTCAAATTGAACTCCTATCGACTAAACAAGTAATCTACCCAGGCCTGGCTGTGGTACAGAGCACTGCACACATCCTGACTGTGACAAAGAAAATAACTAGAAATTCTCTCTGGTTTAAGCAAAAGAGATTATCCTCTCTTTCTACTCTCTCTCTCTAGCTCTACTCTTTCTCTCTCTACTCTCTCTACCTCCCTCTCACACACACACACACACACACACACTCCTCTCATCCATGAGATTAGACAAGTGCCTAAAGAATGCAATCATCCTCGCGTTAACGTGAAATGCGTTAAGATATCTCCTCTTGGCGGAGAGGATTGAGACAAACGGCTCTCTTCCTTCCTCTCAACTGATCTCCTGGGTGACGAGGATACACAATTAAGAAGAGCTGTTCCATGTGATCAGAAGGAGGGAGATGGACACCCCGATTCCTTTCACCGTATCAAACCAGCCATCATCATCCTCATCTGAGAGATAGGCCCTCTCTTGTATTCAAAGCCTGCCTCTCAGCTCAGATGTCTGTTCACAACTTTTAAATGAGCATTAATATGAAGGGGATGATCAGGAGGATTTAGTAACAGACAAACCTTAAATACATGTACAATATTAGTTGTGATCGGCAGGTCATCGGGAGATTGATAGTGTGTACAAGCTTTCAAATCCTGAGAGGGGAACAAACTCCAATCTGATATTTTCTTCCTATTCAACGCTGACAATGAAAAATGTCCTGATCCCTCCTGCTGATATCTCTTTTTAAATATAGTCAAATGCACAACATAGTGGAGAGAGCTCTCACAAACCACTGCAATTGAAATATCAATGAATGCAACTGTTGGCCCTTCAATATTCAAAGGGTCTGGGTGTGTGCATGCCAGATGCATGCTCCCGTTTGTTACAGAGTGGTGAAGGCTGTGTGGCAAGACGTGAATGGAAATTCTGTTTGCGCTCGTGTGTGAGAATGAAGGAGAATAAGCTGTTGTGTGGGTTTGTGAGAGGGTGCGAGAGAGAGAGAGAAGAGAGAAAACATAAAAGAGAAAGGTTAACACAGGCTCTTCCTGATGCGCTTGGACTTGATGATCAGGATTACGGCACCTCTCTTCTCTTTGTCAGTTCATATTTTCAAGAGCCCCTACAGCCTCACAAGAACCAGAGCTAAAACGCTAGCAGCCCTTTCAGGAAATTGGACACAAATAAGATTTCGGAAAAAGAACAAAGAAATAAACTTCTCCTCGGTTGTGAAGGACAAATATTCCCTACTCCTTCATCAAATGTTAAGAGATGAATCCGTACAGACCTACACATTGATTTGGTTTGTGATACAGTTACATGTGTCTCATTTACAATGACAACCCTGAGCACACAAACAAAAGAAAGCAACAGAGGATTCAGGAAGGAAGATGAGTTGCAATGACGGTACCTTACTCTTATCGCTATTGTTCAGCCTATGTGGGCCTGGTGAATAGTCTGTGTAATTTCATGGCCGGTTTAATTGGGCATACTCTGCTGCAAGGTCAATGAGTAGAGAATTTCAAAGACTCCCGCCTCTGTTGTGAAGAAGGTCTAATGGCTGCCTCATTCACACAGGCCTGAGCCACAGCAATACTTCAGCTAATAACAAATTAAAGGCCTGTGTTTTTCAGGACAATAAGCCACAGGATGAAAGGAGTCTGGGCAGAGCCTGTTATTTGCGATTAGCGCATGGGTCAGAGTTTCCCTTTGGTCAAGGTCACCCTGTGTAGTAATCTGATGAGAGGGAAGCACTACATTTCACACACACACACACAGACAAACAGGCCCAAAGTGCTATTGCCATCTTAACATCGAATGTCCACACAATGGCTAGTTACTATCTTTAAAAGACAACTAACTTACGAAAGCCCTTGTCATGACATCTTGTTGTCTGAGGTGTAATACTGTATGAGTCTGTAAAAAAAGTATATCCTTGTATTGCATGATGTGCTTGCTGCACATGACTGTTTAAATGTCTGTACCAAGAAGTGGAGATAACCTGGGATTCAAACCCCGGGTAAAAGCATGTAAAAGGTACTGTACTCTGAAGTGTATTGTGAGATGCATACCTTGGCACTATAGGAGGCGTTGTATGGCAGCAGCAGTGGAGTGAACAACTGGACGAGGCGCTCGGGGGTGAGGACATGGTGGTCCTTCAGCAGAAGGGCGTGCTTGAACCAGCGATCCCACAGAGGCGCAGCATCAGGGGGGAGACGTGAGCTGGAGTGTGGAGGACAGGGGAGGAGACATGCATTACGGTGAGGGAGGAACACAGCTTGTTGTCTGAATGGACATGTACCACAGTAAGATACAACAAACATCATTCATTAAAGTGAAAGAATATATTTATACTTACACTGTCTATCTATATAATGTAAACACTTCACAAATATAAACCGTCATAGAGTTGGCTCATTCATGCATTCAATGGCAGATTATTTAATTTTTTTCAAAATGTGTAGATCGAAAGAAACACACATGGTACGCCCAAAGACAACGTAGTGTAGTTTGACATCTTGATATATTTACCAAAGTTGGCACTTATTTTATATTTGTGAATTGAAGTTAACCTAATGACACATAAATTGGCTACATACTGAGTCAAGCGCCCACAGTAGGGTATAAAAGATACTGTATCTCAGGACACTTTCTTTTTGCCTGAATACAATGAAGTATTCAGGCATAGCAGAGCTGGAGCTCCTCATTATCAAAAGAAACCAGTCACAGATAGGGCATTTCATTTGCTCATGACATTCACACACACAGAGTTACTGCTTGAGGTAACACAAATGACCTTTACATTTGTGGAGGATGGAGACGTGTTCACGGCCATTCAATCCAATCTCAACCTGTTCTAAATATGTGCTTCCCCCCTCCTCTGAACTCCAGTCAAACTGTCAAGAAAAAACTAATCTGCTCTTTGTCTGAAAAGTGAAATTCATCTTTGAATCGGTTCACGTTTCATTTGGACGTGAGATTGGTCTATTGAACTCAGTCACTTGTAGAGCACTGATATCTCTGCTCAATGACTCCATTATAGCTCACATGTATTACAGGAGCAGAGTTGAAAATGTCCCCATCTTGACTCTCACTCAGGCTTGATGTAACATTTAGCCAATATAATAATAAGGGACCCTGAAGCAGCAACACAAGACCAATTGAAGCATTTTTCTACAGCACATACATGCAGTCTTAAATAATTATCCAAAAATAATATCAAAAGCAATTAATAATATTCTTTATAAAAATGTAAAAAAGGATGCAAAGGAGAAAAGAAAGTAACATTCTGTCCATTTCAAAGGGTCATAACATTACTGACCAGCATGAACCTGAAGATCATTTTAACTGCCTCACCTATCATACGCTTCCATTTAAGATTGAAAAGAAATGCATCAAATGATAAATCCAATTTTCAAAAACAGTGACATCAAAAAAGACTTATCTGGTGCAGAGTTCACAGAAGCCTTACCTTATTTTCCTGGGCTCGGTGGTAGACCAGTTAGAGCTAACTATCTCTTCGGGTAACAGGCAACCCTTTGACGTGGTCCATGACAACCTCTGAAGCTGGTGAAGGACGACTGCTCCACATGCATCAAGGTCCTCTCCATTCAAGCCTGCCCTGGCGTTACAAAGGCTGACGAATATATAGAGCCGAGTGAGCCATCGCCATGGAACCCGGGGCTCATCCCAGCAGCCCACAGGTCAGGGGTATAGAGCACAGCAGCTGTTCTCAGTACATCCCAAGTTAGGGATGAGCCACAACACACACAGTAAACACATGGCAAAGGCCACAGCAGGAGACCAACACTCACAATTCACTGTCTGACAACTAGGTGACAGTAGTTCTGATCATTCTGGCAAAAAGGGCATAATTGGGCAAGAAGTTGGGAATGTTATTTCCTTCCCTGCTATTCTATTGCAAACACTTACTGATAATAAAAACATGTATCTTTATCCTCTTGTACAAAAATGTAATATAATTAGAAAAGTGGTCACTTTCGTTTCAAATGCCACATAGCCAGTGAATTTCCATGATTCCCAAATGCCAGGAGGACCATAACTCAGCTGCAAAGTGTGGTTACTATGACAATCCTGTCTTTGAAAAACCCTTAGAAACCAAGATGTGCTGCAAAAGCATTGTTGGTGCCAAGTGATGACACTTAATTTAAAGTGAGAGCCCTTGGCGGCAGGTTAATACATTTTCCCCAGATCCATGAACACTGGTTGATAATGAAAATAATTGCAGCCAAACTCAAGACAAAGACCAATATCATCTCTAACGACGGAAACAGCTTACCTGATCACTTTATTGCGTTTGCTTTCGCCAAGTGATGAGACACAGTACACACTTATTTCTCCTTGGTGGAATCGTTCTTCAATGCTCTCCAGTAGATGGAAGAATCCCTCCATGGACAGCCTGAAAGAACAAACACATCAAATTAAGACACAGAAACAAAATGTCTGACTGGATTTGAACCATATGCGTTTACAGATTTTTCCAGTTAATCTCTGTCTGTCTGTGTGTGTGTGTATATAAATAAATAAATAAATAAATAAATAAGAGGTCAAGGCACTATACTGATTGACATGTTAACCAATGTCAGAGATTGGGCCTTCAACCATTCAATTCAATGTCAATTGATGCTGAGTGAATACCATGCAGGAAAATAAATTGCCTCAGCACTGGGTACACAGCTAATAAACTGAGGCATTAGGAGCATAGAACAAAACTGTCCTTGTGTCTCATTTCAATATATTGAAAGGTATCTAGACCAAAATCTTATTTTTGGGGCCTGGAAATGACACATTGCCTTAAACTATTATAAAAAATACTAATTTCGTCCATATTCGGACAGCTAACATAGCCCAACCTCCCAACAACAAAAAACCCAAGATGATTTCTTTTGGTGAGAGATTTACACTTTAATCTGGCCATGTGAGGCTGTAAAATGAGAAATGGATGCCTAATGCATGTGGATTTGGGGAATCCATCTCTTTCTTGAGCATTAAGCTCTGGGTGGCCCACATTGAATTCCAGCCAAAATCCTGAGCCCCCCAACATAAAAGGGGCAAAAATAATTTATGACAATCTATAATGGGCTCCGGGGTTAGAGGTCAGCAAACAATTGCTCCATCCCTTTTGCAGGTTGTTTCCTGGTAACATCCTGATTAAGCTGGCAGCTTGAATTATATGATGACATGTAGTGTACCATCCATCTTCGCTAAGTCCTCTTCAATGCAGCTGAAGTAGCATGTGCAAAAGCTCTGCCTTTTTTCCTCCCGTCAGCGTGGGCCTTGAAATAGTCATCAACTTTCTCTACATTTTATTTGTCAGTGCTCTTCAAAACGGGACCTTTTTACAAAAAAAAAAGGGATTTAGTTGTGTGCACCAAACCTCTCTGTATTGTTGTGAGGGCTTCATGGCGAGGTCTCATACCACACGTTTGGTGTTGCTGTGTGTGTCTGAGTCTCGACATCATCAGGAGAGTATTATTAGTAAGGATGAAGGGGTCAGCCTCTTGGGAGCGATATTACACTGACACTGCATACAGTGGAGATTTCACCATTATTTCCTAAATGTAATGGTCTCAACATGAGTGATTGGTGTCAGGTCACTTTGAGGGCATTTCTTTTCACACACAAAGAAAAGGGAAAATACTAATAGTTGTATCAATGGAGAGACATTGTAAAGCAAATAACACTACAATAATTCTCACTATTAATGGTTGTATGTGAGAGTACAAAATAACCAGTCAATTCAGACTAACCAGTACACTCCATACAGTCTTTGTCCATTTGGAACTATTTTCTAAGTAATGCCCTTGATTAAGGGGGTTCACACTCAAACACTTCACATAGCTACAGAATCTCCACATGATTTTAGAAAAAACCCATCTCACAGCTGACATAGCCATGATCTCGTTGTCTAAACAACAACATAATACCAGTAATTCCCAGTCACCACAAGAACAGACACATTATACAGTATCTTCTAATTGTGTACATATTTCCACATTCACTATTTATTTACTACTTTTTATTATTTATTTGTTAATATTAAGATAATTGTACTGTATTATTAAAGAGAGCTTACAAGTAAGCATTTCACTATCAGTGTTCAGCGTATCAATGTTTTGTGTGGACCCCAGGAAGAATAGCTGCTGCTTCTGCAAAAGCTAATGGGGATCCGAATAAACAAATAAAACCACATCCCTGTGTGAAAGACTCCAGCCATTATGATGAGCACTAAAGAAAACCCAAGAGGGTTTCTGTTCTCTACTCCCTCACCCAGGTCACACCAGGGGGAAATATAATGGAATAATGTAATGAATTGCCAACGCTTGTTTTCCTGCCCGGGAGCTGAATGGGAAAAGCGATATAAACTCTAACCTTGGCGTTGAGTGAGGCCGCGTGGCACTGGAGACAGGCTGCTCTGAGCTTCACATCAAAGCTTTGTTTTTCCCTCATACACAGGGCTCCATGTTAACAATGGAGAGCTCAGATTCTCCCCTCCCCATCACCACCACCACAACCAACCACTCTACAGCTTCTCTAAAGGGCACAGTGGAACATTTAAATGGAGTACACAACACCAAAACACAAACATTCATTGTTCAGGTTCTAGGTACAATAATTTGTCGGTTTTATTTATGTTCCATGTCAAACTTCAACCCTGCTCTCTCTGATACCAAGCAAACAATGAATTGATCTGCCACAAAAAAATAACATGTTAAAATAGTTGGGACTGTAAAGAATGCCTGTATTTTTGAGGCCTTTGAAAACATTTGTACAATACACATGTACAACTGGAAGATAATATAAGGCTTCTGCATTGAGGAATCTACACCCATGCAATGCAAAATCCAAATAATAGACAAGCTACAGTTATTTATAAGAAATACATTTGTGTTTCACCCTCAAACAGTTACTTGTCTACCAACACATATACTGAGAAATATCATAACACATACAGAGAAAATATGCTTATTACAGCTAGGTCTATAGCCTACAATCTGACTTTTTTCAGAGGTCAGTAAAGATCTGGATTGATGGACAGAAATCCGCACTCCCTTCACTGTGCAAGCCATCCCAAGCAATCCTTAAAATCCGAGGACACCAAGCGCTGCATTTCTTATTGTGAGTGCCTGTCCACATGCCCACCCTCCAGAACACTCTATGGAGCCACAAATGTCCTCCTCCACTGGGACTTCCTGAGGTCTCTCAAGCAGAAAATTGCTCTGTTACAGCATTATCTTGGATTATGGCAATAATGTTTGTCACGGGTCCTAAACCCTCCCTATAAAGCGGCTGTGCTGAGCTGCAGTGAGTGCGGTGGGTCGTGTGGAGCGTGACTCCCACTATCCTCTCTGACGGCTACAGATGTGGCACAAGTCAACTGTCTTGAGCAGAATCCCCAGTGCAGCCTACTTATCCCGCAGCCCAGTTCAGCTTGGCCTCTCTGGAACATGCTAATGTAGAGCTGTAGCTTTGCTGCTTTAGCATGCCCCTCTGTCTAATTTACTCAACAATAAACTGAATTAAACAGATAGGCTGGGAGGAAAATGTAGAAATATTTATACCAAATTAAAAGAACTGCATTTGTTTAGATGGCTGACATAAGGGCTCGATTGATTTTCATCAAATTAACTGACAGCTCTTTCCAGTGCAGTGCAACACTTCACTAAAACGAAATGTAATGTACATAACTAACTCATACCTTTTCGATGGGATTTCTGGAGACGTGGATTCGCTACTTGATTCTGGTCTGTTCCTAGGCTCTGGAGTGTCAAGTGACTGACTGTGAACACTGATGCTGCGGAGCTCCCTCTCACTGGGTGGAATAGCACTCCTCTGTAGTGGGCCTGGTGGGCTCTCTGTCTTCCTGCTGTGGCTCTCTGTCTTCCTGGTGTGGCTGTCTGTCTTCCCGGTGTGGCTGTCTGTCTTCCTGGTGTGGCTGTCTGTCTTCCCGGTGTGGCTGTCTGTCTTCCCGGTGTGGCTGTCTGTCTTCCTGGTGTGGCTTTCTACATGGACTACACCCTCTGGTACCTCAGCCAGGTCAGACTCAGTCAGGGAGATGGACAGGTCACTACCACTGCTGGTCACTGACAGCTCCATACTGGAACTGGATATACTAAGGGTTTCACTCTTCTCTGAAAACACATAAACAACAGGCTATTTGAGTCACTGCATATATGTCGCATTATTAGTCAAAATATATGTATTTCAGCAATTCCTTAAAAGGAACACGTTTCAATCAAATTGCTAAGGAATAAAGTACTAGCTAGTACAGTGAAACAACGTACAACATACAGAGTCTGGATATCTTCTAGTATGTAATATCTTTCAGTAATAAGATCACCAACCTGGCACATCTTGAGATCTTTTTCCCAAGTCAGTTTGAGGTGGTGATCTTTGCTGAACTCTCTCCACGTCTTCTTTTATGCTCTCCTGATGGGCAGACCCTCTACCCCAAGTGTATTCTGCAGGTGAATTCCTGTCACACATATGGCTGATAGCGCTGGGCGGTGGGCTATTCTTCTCAGGCCTCGTCAAGGTCACTTGAGGTGAAGTCAGTTTTTCATCACCTCCAAAAGGCACGCAGGCGCTGGCTGTTAAGGTACGAACAGATGGAACCACTGCCGCCATCCTTTCATGTTTGTCACACAAATTACAGCCGTCGGGGGAATCGTTTGAGCCTGAAATGTCAACTGATAGATGCGCTCCGCTGTCGGCAACGACCTCTCTGGAAACTTTGGAGTCATTCAAAAGGCCACTTTGCGGGCGTTCCGAGGCATGTGAGCGATGATTTGGCGAATGATGCTCCGCTTGTCGTAAGTGTATACTTGTGGTGGCATCTTCAGCCGTGGAACTTCTGGAGGTCTGGCGACCCATGAAGATTACAGATGGTTGGTGTAAACCCCTGGCCTGTGGTGAGGGGGAATCACCCTGAGGATGGCAATGTAATACATCTCCCTGAAAAACAGGAAATAAACTATTAAAAAGGTAACACATACAGGTGCATTCATGGTTACTCAATGTCAAATAGCAAAATGCTTATCAAAAGCAACGCATTTTGGAGATCATATCTAGGGATGCAAGTGTATTGTGCAACTCCAGTTAAAGTAACAATTGACTGCTAATTCATATAATTATGCTCAAATAAAATCCCCAAGACTGATATTTTTCTTGTCACAGTCCCCATTCCAATTTGAGCAATGAAAATTCGAATGACTATGGTTTTTCAATTAATTTATAGTCATAATAACACGGCGTACCATAGACAAGATTGGCAAAATAGCATGAAATGGTCAAGGATACCCTCCACTCACAAGCAGCAAAGACATTTCAAGTTGGTGTTGGTATAATATTGCTCTTACAATTTTCTGCTTCTATAAATCTGTTTATTGTCCAAAAAATGTAACACTTGCAAATTAGGTTATAAGGGCTTTTTCTTCACAAAATAACAACAGAGTGTTTTAAAAGTATCACTTTTTCAGTTAAAACACTGTTTATTTGGGACAAGGTCATATTTATTTTCAAACCCTCTTTCAGAAGAATGTTACACGATCAATGTTTTAACTTCTAATCTTATAAGCAATCCTCTGTACAAGTTGTGATTCATGTCTGCTATAGCACCAAGGGGGTCGGAGAGAAAGCTAAAAAAAACCTTCCTCCAAACATAATAACAAAAAGCATGGCTTCTGTTTCTTTTCTGATAAGAGTCTTAAATACCAAACAGTTAGCTGCTTAATAACATTCACTGTAAACCATGCAGCTCTGCCCAGCAGATCCACAAAGTAGGTAAAAAATAGGAAAAGTTAATTTCTTGGCTGAGTGATTCCATCGGTAACTGCAGGGCAAAGTAGAAAGTGTTTCACTAAAGTAGCAATTGATTCTTCTATCAATCTGCGGCACGCGCGTGCTCTTCCAAGGAATGTATTAAATATGAAAATCATATCCCGTTATCATCTGTCTCCAGCTTTCAGCCCGGTAAGCTTCCCTTAATGAATGCTGTAGCCTGAGGGACATGCACACTGCCAGCAATGGCTTGTATGCATAATCGAGTGACAGTACCATTTTGCTCATTACAATATCGCCAAGCTGAGGGGGGTTTTGCACACAGTCACAAGTGACTGCTCTAGACAGCATGCTCCAAGTTATTATGAGATGTCTTAGACATTTCATCTAAAAGAGCTTTAACTGCGTTAAGTGAAGGAAGAAGCAGCTATGGGCTTGAACTACATCGCTTGTACAGATGCACCAGCCAGGATAAGACGCCTGCACTATTACAGCTTCACAGTTAAATGTATAGTCCTCTACAGATCTGCTCTGCATAATGTCTACTTTTCTTTGTTGTTCCAAAGCTGAAAACACAGTTTGATAGAGCTAAGATTTGCATTATCCTTACAAAAAAAGAGATTCCCCATAATAAGAGCATACTGTGCGAGTCAAATATTTTTGGCAAAATCTTCAGGAATTCTAAAACCTATGAATCACAGAATACAGTACGCATTTCCCCAAGACTATTTTACACGGTAAAACGTTTTAATCATATAAATAAATGACCCTTATATAAAATGATTTGTTCAAAACATAGGGCACCCTTCAATAACAAACAAAACAGTAGACTACTACTACTACTACAGCCAGAAAGAGACATACCGGTAGCCTAAATGCACGTCATGTCTGTTCTTTGAAAAATGCATTAATTTATTCTAATCAAAGGTTAGGCGTACATTTCTTTTCTAATTTACTTTTTTGTAATTTCAAGAGACGCTTACTTATTATTACCTTCTCTATTTCAAGATTTGGCTCTTCTTTCTTCTGCCTTGCTGCCATAAATCTGGAAATTCTATTCAAGCATTCAACCTGTGAAATTCAGTAAAAATGCTGTCAATAAAGCACAATTAATTTAGCAAATTTCCTTTTTCAAAGTGATCAATAATTCCACATCTACTGTACCGTTTTTCAATGCAGCAAAGTTATTTAAAAAAAAGCTAAATCATTGGATATTGTCCTTATCAGAAATATCTACATAATGAACATGTAATTTCATATTATCTGGGTAATTGTATACATACGATGTTTCTTCACTGTGATAAAACCGTGTTAAACATGCTCTGCAAACACATTTAAAACATGGAAAAGAGGAGCTGTCCAAACATGAGAGTTAGTCACCACGGGTATTCCCCAGTGAGTGTCCTCCACAGTGCCTGCCAACACTCTTAAATCATCTGAGTAGCCAGACTGACTGCCCTAATCCCAACTCCAATTAAACAGTCTAATGGCGCAGTTAAGGGCACTGGGATTAACTCCAACATCCCAGGCCTTTTCTTCAAAACAATGGCAATTGCCACAACAACAAAAAAGCTACTTTTGTTTATCAAAATTGCTAAATGCACTTGTTATCTATTTGCACTGATTCTACAGTGACTGATAACAACAATGAAGTCACAAATTATTATGATTATGGTCAGCATCATTTGTATGTATGGGTGTGGTCGTACTGTATTGTACTGGAGAAATAGGCTGAAATATCTAAACAAAAAGCGAATAGTGAATTAGTCTACAAAAATATCCACACTTGAATGTTAAAAGGTACCTTTTCACAGTTGTTTGACTGCTTGACAATTAAGTCATAGCACACTTATAATAAGAAGATGAATGAAACAATGTGACAACAGAAAATTATTAATAAAAATAAACTACAAACATTTATGAATCATAAAGCATAAAAAAGAAACAAAGCAACTGCTTGAGGGGGAAAAATAAACCCCTGGAGCACTTCACTGTCTCAATATTGGGCAATTAATTTAGCGAGTCATAATTAACCAATTTTGTTAATTTGATATTAAGCTGTAGAGCACTGTTGTTGAGTTAAGCGATAATCTGACTCGTTCATTGTTTTCTCTTGCTCATTTGCCTGCAGTGATAAACTGCAGTGTTCGAGTGTTTACCATTGTTACATCAAGCAAATGAGTGTAAATATCCCTACAGTGTTCGACAATTAGAGCATGATACTAAGGCAATTGACAATAAGAACGTCATTGAAGTGCATGCATCATATTTTTGAAATTCCAAAACATTTTTGTGTTGTGAAATGGCCTTGTAAATCAAGAACACACACTCACATTAACTAGCCTTCAGTACATAAGGGACAATAGAGCATGAGCATCAACCATAGGTTTACTGTACAGTGATCTTTACTGAATCATGTAAAAAGAGTTCAATAAAATGTGCTCTCCATCTCAATAATGTAACATTTGTACAGTTTGCAGAGAATCATAAACCTTTTAAATTCACAATGCCTAATACCAACTCTGCAGCTGTGGCTACACACTGAACAGATGAGACACTGGCACTGCCGTGTCCCAGTCTTACCTTGTGTTCATCCAGAGGGTTACGGCCAGGACAGTGTTCCTTCATGCTCATTTCAATGCACTCCACATCTCTCAGGAGCTCAAGGTTTCGAATTTTGGCCCGTTTTTCTCTCTCACAGATTTCCTTGAGATAACCACGGAGTTTGGCATACTTTATCTGAGAACTTAAGCCAATAAAGATATCTATTATTTAAGGACACTCTTGCAAATAAAAGCGAGATCTGCAGTACTATTCCTCCACACATTATTCTAAAGAAATGGTTACTACGGCAGTGTTTCCCCTATATTTATTTAGCAGCAGCACCCCGCCACTCTCCCCCGATTATAATATTATTATTTTTTAAGATGGAATGGGCAGTAGGGGAAACAGCGCCACTATCCACCCCACAGCCGTTGCTATTGTTTTGGTTTTTTCTTATGATGCAGAGATGAGGAGCATTGCCCAACGTGATAAAAAAATTTGCAGTACATAATCTGCTGTTCTATCGTGCATGCAATGATGTCCTAGGGAAAGAACAGTGTTCATTGTTTGCAGTAACTTCTTTGTTGTTGTAATTTCGCAAACGGATGTGGCAGTTTCACCATTAAGGACCAGCTTTAAATATTTCTGTCAAGACACGCCTTTAAGATCAGAGTGACAAGTTACAATGTACAGTATATTTGTAGCATTTTATGCATTAAGAGTATTTTGGGGGTTTTCAATTAGGCAAATGCAGATGGGCAACCCCATGTGGTCCTCTGTAGCTCAATTGGTAGAGCATGGCGCTTGTAACGCCAGGGTAGTGGGTTCGATCCCCGGGACCACCCATATGTAAAAATGTATGCACACATGACTGTAAGTCGCTTTGGATAAAAGCGTCTGCTAAATGGCATATTATTATTATTATGCCTCAGCCTATTTAAATGTGCACTCTAGTCTCCTTTTCCCCTCATTTATCACCTAGCACCGCTATGCTGCATCAGTTCGGCTACAGGTTATAGTGTTTTTAAAGGGGAAAATTATATTTCAGATGGTGTCAACATAATTACATTTTCATTCATTTTGGAGTAGAATGTCCTTTTTTAAAGTCACCAGAAGTGACCTTCTCGCAGTCGTTCCACACAAAAAAAATATTCCCCGCTACCTTTGCCATTGCTGCTGAAAAATATCCTAGGGGAAACACTGTACTATGGAGTAGGCCTATCTCTATGTTCTGTTTTCACTGGCATTCCTCATAAGTAGCTGAACAGTTTAGAACTTCAGTATACAGCAAAAAACAAAACGTGACATTGTATAGGCCTAATTCATACCTGAGTGACTACCAGTGAAATAACTAGCATAGCATAATAACAGTGGTACTAAGTAGTCTAACTGTCTGTACTTACATAACCAATACAATGTCATGACTTACCCTCTCTTCTCAGATCTGCAGTAAGCAAACAACTCCCTCTCCAACTCAAGTCTCCTCTTTTCCCTACAGGAATAGATGAAACAGATGTTGGCTACATTGTTTGTTCTCTTTGCATCACACGAATAAAAACTGTTATAGGCAACAAACAAAGAAGTGTCCCCATACCATACTAGCTTCAGCAGCCCCATGCATGCCCACAGTAGTTGTGTTCTGTGCGTAAAAAGGTCCAGATGGTCGTGCACAGAACTAAACGTACAGTAACGTTAACCGTCAACATGATCATAGTTAGCTAGCTACAGTAACGTTACAGTAACTAGTTAATTATTAAACTACTGATTAGTCGCCTTATCTAACGTTGCTGCAATTCTGGTAATACTTACATGTTTTACCAGTTCGTATGAAACCGGTATTACATGCACAGTGACACGAGTAGCTATTTAACGCTAAGCTAGCTAGCTAACGTCGTTAGTTTGTTGGTGTAAACCCCCTACTAAGTTAGTTAGCTAAAGTACAATAGTTATTGTTAAAACAATACATTCACGTTACTTACACGTCTTTTTCAAGACATTGTTGCTTGCTAGCGTGTCAACCTGCTGACCGGTAAAATGGACCCACAGCTAGCTAGTTAGCCGTTGCTAGATGGTTAGTTAGTTAGCCACTTATCGTGAAACATCGCGTGAGAGGCATCAGCAGTGTCGGGAGAGTGCACAACTCAAACTCGTGGTGTCAAAGGGGCCTGACGCCAAAAGGAAAACGGGTTAAAATCTTACCTTTCGTGCATGCTTTGTTGAATGGATCCAATTATTTCATAGTACTGGTCCTCACAGAACGCCATGACAGCAACGTTCCTTGCCCTAGCTACTAAAACGTGTTTCTTCTGGTTGCCATGAGCACCACTTCCCAGAGATCCCCTCTTGTAAACAACAAGAGCGGGAAGGTAGAGAAGTGATGTGATTTGCGCCTAGCGCTGGTCCAGGATCAGCTTTGTATGAACGATACACTCATACAAAGGAAAAATGCATGTGGAATCAAAATAATTATTGCATACATGGAGATCGTGCATTATTTCCCTATAACGCACAGCATATTTGCACGAGAAATTCAGTTCATTTGTACAAGTTTTATTTGAGCTGCTTTTGAAAGTAAAACACAAATTGAAAACAGTATTGGTATTGGTGAATTCGATTTTCATAATAGCAAGCTAGGAGGACTGATGGTTTGGTTAGCTAAACTAGCAAGTATGTTTGTTTGGTTACCACGGCAACTACTGTAGCTACAGTATATAGAAAAAATGCTAGCTACTTGTTCAGTGGATGTTGAATATATTTATACCGGCAAATGAACACATTTCTAGCGGCAAATGTGTTAAATTATAGCCATGGTATAAAAAGGAATAAACAACTTGGGGATCTATGCGTTCTCTGGAAAATAATGCAACTCCGTGGAAGGTCAGTTCCAATCCACTAGCGCGTCGTTTACTGCTGATGTAGTGATTTGCATTGGTCAGCAACGATTGGATATCTGGATTGACATGTTATGCAAGCCAATATTTTCTACAATGAATTATTCTACTCATGTTCTTTACTATAATTTCTGTCATTTTCTGTGATAATCGTCCCTTTTAAATACGAAGTGATGTACAGTGTAGCGTATTTGTGTTGACCTGGCTTGACATGTCACAGCAGGCCTAGAGAGTCAAAATGGACAGAGAAGTGTGAGCCCCATACATCTCTTATCCCTGATCCCAATCAATATCCGGTAGAGTCAAAGATACTAAAATAACTAGGGAAAGCTTTCTTAGCTGTGGCCTCTTCGCCCTACAGAACGTGCCTCCAAAATTGCCAACTGCCTGTTGTAGGTTTTTGTTAAAGGTCTGAGTGCGGCTGAATTGTTAAATAGAAGCCATAACGAATACATGAGTGATGCACATGTAAGCCATTATGAGTGAACAGATAAACTGGCCCTGTTCTCTGTCCATGGTCCTGATGCCGCATGCTGCCTTTTTTCTCCAGTAGCCACAGTATCCCCACGGATCATGCATTGCATTTCAGAAGTTCATTGTTGACAGCTCTCTAATGTCATGCCACGTTCTGACTGATGCTACAATAGCGGCACATCAGTTTTGTGTCTCGCTCCCGCCGCGGCTCCCATAGCCGAGGTGCGGTTATTGTCAGCCCCTCCAAATGCAGCCCCTAATCAAGCAATTTCCCCAATTCCAGCCCCATCAAATTGCTATTTAGCTGTTGAACTGGGGAGTTTTGCTGTCCTTTTCACATGCTAATCTCCCCTATTCAGCATCTCTCTGTGAGGCTATTTGTTGTGGAATAAATCCCTTTGTTTGCCTCCTGCATGTATAATTGATATTGTTGCGGGACTCTTTGTTTGTGCTGCACAGAGCTGAAAGGCGCTACTTTGGAGGTGATGAAGTGACTGAGACTCGCAATCACTCTTCTTTCTACAGGGGCCCAGCGGAGGTTGGTGAAAGTGATCAGTCCTCCTATTAGATTATAATATTACAACACTGTATCATGTGATGGGATGCATTTACAGTCAGCTATAACTTCGCATCTGCATATGAGCAACCTTGAAACACAATCTGCAGTAGAACCCCTATGTAAAGATACTGTTTTGACAATTACAGTCAGTCAGCATGTACTTGTGGAATACCAACAACAACCTGCCTATGGGTTATCCATCGTAACAAATACACGCAAATGTTTTATTTCTTCTTGACTTATCCCTTCAACTGACACACACATCCAGTCTCCGCTTTACCTAGGTTAAGTTTGTTATCTGACTCTTGAACCTTTAGCGACATGGAAGTCTCAAGAGATAAGTAAGCCTACATATTCCACTTTTATGGCCACAGACCCATACCATACATCAACACATACACTGCCTGCAATCCTATTTCAGTTTTACTAAGAAATTATTCAATATAAAACAATAAATGTCTGTTTTCCTTGGGAGAGTATGTGTGGAATATAAAGAGTATAATAGGCCTATCCACCAATAGCAGTAGTCATATACATATTGGGGAAAAGCCAGCTTGTTATGTTTTATCAGTTGACGCTTAATGGTAAAATGGGGCTTTAATATTTGAATTATAATATATGCATGGGAAAATAGAAATGTGTCCTTTTCCAATTGTATCCCATATAGAATGATTGGCCCTTTTCTCCCTGCCCCTTGTCTTGTAGAATAGATACAGTATGTAGGGTAATTGATATGCCTTAACAGAGGTCATAATTTGCATGAGAATTAACAGCAGTAAATTAAATTGATATTCTGTGCACATCTCAAATGATTCCTTCAGACCTTTGTTTCCCTGCTTGGCAGAGCCCGGGTTCAGCTGCTAACCAGTCAGAAACATCTGGGTGGTTAATAATTTGATAAACAGCTTATAGAAACACTCCCCAAATTATCTTCTCTGAAGACCAAGCTTTTTTCTTGTGTCAAACTTGGAACAGTTGGCTAAGGCTGGGCTTTCTGTAATGCACATGTTGGGCTTATCTGCTTTGTGGCTATTCTTCCATATCTTAGGTCTTCATGGCTTTTGCTCACTCTTTTCACTATCGCTTAGATTTTGAATCAGTGTTTGGGGTTAATTCAAACCCCCCAGTCTATCTGACAGAGAGAGTGAAATATTTTATTTTAAAAGTTGGCTATTGTGGCCAACATATAAAGGATCTAAATCTGCATTTAATATTCATTCAAAACATTGAAGACATTGTGATTAACAATAAATACAAGAAAAAGCTACATA